GGGGTAGTGGGTATTCTTACACCGCCACTACACGGTTACGCCTACCTTTAGATGGCTAAAAATTATCCGTAGGGATAAAGAATGTAATTGAAAATCGCGTCGCCTCTATTCTACGTTCTATATATTCAGTCCAAATTGTCATTGATAACAAATTCCCAAAAACTACAAAAACATCAATCCGTTTTTGCTAATTTGTGAGCTACGACGTATTCTGAGAGTTTTATTTATAATTATTGTTGATTTTGTTTTTTAATATTTTAGTATCAAATAATAACATTCCATTAAGACATGACATGATAACCATTTTCGTTTGTCTGTTTGCCCAAGCTAATCTTCAGAATGGCTGAAACGATTGTAATAAAACCTAACAAACAAATAGAGGATAATACCGGAGTAATCTAGACTAAATTTATTCGAAATTTATTAAAAAATTAATATTAATAACATAAAAATAAATGGTCTTTGACGATTATCTGAAGCCTAATAACGTCACATCAATAGTTCCCAACTAAGAGAAGCCAGAGGGTATCGCTAGTTTTTTTAAATATTATTAATCTTACCTATTATTTACAATTACTAATATTCCTTTTAACCACTCCTGGTAAGCTTGAAACGCTTGTGTTAGGAGTGGTTCATGACAGTAGTCAAATGGCGGATTCGAACCTACGACCTTTTGAGCTCGCGATCCGTGCCCTGCCATTAGGCTACTGTCGCTTAATTATAAATGTTATTTTAAAATTTACATCCCACTTGGATGTACAATTTTTTCAAACATTTTTCCATTAATAAAGAATTACCAATTAACCCAAATATATAACCTTATTACGATTTACCGTTATTTGCGGGTTTTTTCTATTAGTACTAGGCATGTTGACAGTACGTACTCGATTAGCTGCTATTTTTAATCCCGTTCTTTATCCTCATGTACTATACTTAAACAATATCTAATTTATTTTAGCAAACGTGCAATAATTCATTTTATTATGTATATATATGAGCTTTGAAATAATAATGACAATAATTAATTCTTCGATGTTTTTGAGAATCTCATATTGTCATACAATCATTTTTATAAGACATGCAATATGAGATTCTCAAAAACATCGAAGAATTAATTATTGCCGTTATTATTTCAAAACTTATGTACTATACTTAAACAAAATTTAACTTATTTCAGCAAACGTGCAATAATTCATTTTATTATGTATATATATGAGTTTTGAAATAATAATGGCAATAATTAATTCTTCGATGTTTTTGAGAGTCTCATATTGCATGTCTTATAAAAAATAGAAAGGTTTACTTCTAGCAATATTCTTCTATAATTTATAATCATTATAACTATTTCATGACTATTATACTTCACAACATAAGTATATCACTTAATATGAATTTTATCACAACCTAGATTTAACCCAGTAATGCCCGAATTTTTTTATTTTTTATTTTTTTAAGTTTGGATATATAATATTGTTCAATGATGGGTTCTTATCAACTTAGCATAAATTTTATTTTTCCAAATATATTAGAAGTTGGAGAAAATTCACGTGTCCAAATGGACACACTAAGCGCTTACAATAGCTAAGGATTTGAGAAATTTATCTTGAAGTATGCAGTTAGATAAAAAGAAACAAAAACATTATAACGGTAGGTGTTTATTACTTCTGGTGATACATTGCAAAACATGGTATACATAGGCCAACGTCACACTTCATACATTCTGACAACTCTTTGATTTGAAGTACGGGGCGACGCATCTTCTTTTTTTACACACTTTCGAACGTAATGATTTACGCTGTCAAACCGCGCTGTATCAGCCAGTTCGGACGTAGAAGGTCTGCCTGCACCTTTAGCAGCTATGCCATAAGTTTTTAGGTAGGTAAGAACAATTTCTCTTCGAAATTCCAGCTGTGGCATCTTATCTTTCTTTCTCTGAAGTTGCCAAGCATTATGCACGCATGCATCTAGCATCCAAGTAAATAGCGACCAGTACCACTTCTTTCCTCTGATGTGTATCCTATACATCTTTATATTTTCATCCATCCTGTCAACTCCACCCATATATTTATTATACTCACCCAGAAGAAATGGTCGTGGCACTTGAACAAATGATTTATCTTTTTGGGAATACCGTTTCACGGTAGTCAGCGGTTGCACGCCCAAATTGTTAGATGCGATGCAAACGATTGAATTATCCATCCATTTTGCTACAAGGACACCATCTTCTTTGCTAATCGCAGATTCATAATAACCTCTTGGCTTTTTCTTCAACATTTTATTCGAAGTCAATTTTTGACACTTCTGCAGGCGGTTTTCCCGCACTGTGCCTGTAGCTCCATATCCTTGCTGTCTAAAGTAGTTCAGAAGATTCAAGCTTGTAAAAAGATTTTCAAAGAAAAAATGATAAGGCATTTTCTTTTTTTCATCGGTAAACTCGTGGATAAATGTTAGAAGAGGAGTGGCACATTTTCCAAAGTGCTGTTCATAAAGTGGATTGGCATTTGGAACCTTGCCTTGATAAACTTCAAAATTTATCAAGTAACCATCTGGAGTACACAGGCTCCATATCTTGTAGCCGAATCGGATGGGTTTTCCTCTGATAAATTGCTTACAGGAATGCTGGCCATAATATTTGACCATAGTTTCGTCGAATGACAGATTTTGTTCAGGGACAAAATGTGTCATAAAATTAGCCTTTATTTTATTTACTAAAGGGCGCAACTTCCACATTTTGTCATTCACGTCTAATTCATTATTATCGACACAATGCATGAATCGCATTATCTCCTCAAATCTGTTGCGCCGCATAGAGTTGCAAATAAGCTCATTGCGGGTATCTATCTCCGTGCTCCAATAGAGCCGTCTGTTAGCATTGGGCGAATACCCACTCAAAATGAGAATAGCAATAAAGCATCGCATTTCAGCAGCTGTGATCTTAGGATCAGGGCAGTTTTTCCATAAAGCATAGCGATTTGATTGCAGAATAAACATGTCAATAATGTCGTGATCAATAAAAAGCTCAAACAAATCGACGGCTGATTGACTAGCGATGTCAGTTACAATCTCTGGAAATGATCCCAAAAATGGTTCTAAGGTTCCATCGATCCATGTTCTCGCTTTTCTGCCACAAAGATCGTCAAAATGAAGAGTGTCTCGGTAAGTTTGGTATCGTTGCTCAAACATTACCTCCGCACCAGCTGTTAATTGCCGAGCATTCAAGTTCTCGGCTCTTCCACCACTATCTTCGTCACCTGAATCCTCGTCCGTCAAAATAGCTGGATCAGGAGGAGCTATAAAAATTGATTCTGGTATCGGAGATTCATTAGAACCTTCTTCATCTTCGCACAATATATCAAGAATTTCATTTAGGGAGCCGTTACCCAGAAATTGGTTGAAATCGAAGAATCTGAAAATAATACATTACTTTTTGTAATGCAATACTTAGTGCCTAGCGTGTCCTTATGGACACGGCAACTTCAGTGTTATAAATATTATGCTAAATCAAATCTAAGCAATATTTTACCATTTTGTAGACATAACTCAATTATGTCTTAGTAATTTAGCACAAAAATAACATAAATAAAACCAATATTTTGAAAATAATATTACTTACTCTCTTCTCGGATCCATATTTCACCGTAACTGAGATTAGCGGCAATTAAATGATTAAACCCGCGAATCAACATTATATTATGACAGTGACAGTGACATGTAATGAAACTTTGACATTTAGTGGTATAGTATAAACAATGAAATGTTTAAAATTAAATAAAGTGTAGCCATATTAAGCATTTAAATTTACCCATATTTTTGTGTCCATATGGACGTGCTAGGCATTACTAGGTTAAAGGAAGCCTAATTGGGAACCTCTTTTTTTGAAGTAGGCTAAAATACTTTACATGCCAAATAGATATTATATATATTTAAGCTCGCTAAAATAAGATCTTGTTAGGGATTAGTGATACTTATTGTATTAAAATTATAAAATTAAAAGTATAAACCTTCAACGTGATAGTATAAAATTCAAAATTAAGCTTTAATATTGGTAGAAAAAAAAGAAATAAATTTACTATCATTTTTAAGAAAAAAGGAAGTGAATAGGACGCAAATTTGTCGTCGATTCGCTCATCGCTAAGACTCAGACGACGTTTTACACATTATCTTCGAGCCTTTCTTAGCGATCATGATTGATGTTCGCTCGCTAGGTCACTCCAACAATGCTGGCTGGAATTCTCTCCTAACAGTGTTTGTTTAATATAACTTAACCTGTTTGTTGGATCATTGGTCATCATTGTATTGATAGGAAATAATTTTTAAATATTAAAATATTGCCTTCATATTTTTTTTTAATCAACTCTATTTCCAGAACTTTTTTAATTTATAATAATGCATAAACTTTAAAACATGGTCATATTGTTTTAATTTTTGTGATTTTTTATATTATGCTAACATAGAAACACCCATTGAAACCATAACTACTTTAAAGGGCTGACCATTTAACGGGTGGTTCCGAACCCGGAATTGATCCAAAAAAGAGTTATTGGGTATTTTTGTCAAGAAATGTTGACAGCCCGGACCCCGGAGAAGTAGCCCGAGTTTTACCCCCATGGTGCGAAGAGCAGGTAAAGTCGTTGGTCTTGCGCCTGCTCTCTCCCCAGTCGTGTCGGATTACCTTCCCTGCTATGAAAGTGAGAGAAATAGAGAGTACATCTTTGTTTGCATACTTGCACTATAATCTTGTCCAGCGTAGATAGCTAGTCTCCGTTAAAACTTGCCTGGATATGTTTTCCTTGTAGCTGAATTATAGTTTGATTTTTGGTTTCAGTGAACTGTGACGTGTATCTCTTTTTTTTTCCCTTTTCGGTTTTTAAAAAGAAATATTTAATTAAATTAAATATATCACCAGTTTTATCATATTATCTTTAGCCATGAAATAGTAAGTGCTAGCTTATGTTAACAAAATTTACTGACGTAACGGTTTAAGTTCAAGAGAGACTTACATTGTATGCTGAGATGTGTAGTTTGGCTTGCAGTCTCGCCTAAGGCGTTAGCAGCCCGACACGAGTAGTCACCGCCATGTTCTCGGGTCACTTTCTGTAGCGCCAGTGACTTGGTACTTACTATGACGCCTAATACAACATTATGTAAAACTGGCTTCTCCTGAACGAAACAAACAATTAAATTATATATTTGTTATCGTTTATTTAAAATATTAAGTGTTTTATATTTAGGATGAATGAAATATGTCAGAATGACATAACCTAAAAATAAGGCATTTAACTTAGATCCGTTAGCAAATGTGTTAAATAAATCATCACACATATTTCTTAGGAGTTGAAACATGTACACTTTTAAACAAAAAACCTAACTTAAAGCTTCATATTGGCCCAATCCTTGATATAATATATATAGTATCAGTATATTATGTTGATACTGATATTCACTATTGTTGTGTGTTCAAAATAACGACTGGAAAATCGTTAGATGCTAACTGCTTCGTTTTTTTTTTTGGCTGGCTAAAAGAAATAGTCCCTAATATTAATAAAATATTCTAATGTACTTGGTGAAGACGGTCTAAGCTTAAAATATCAGCTGATTCATCAAACTAATATACAACTATTGATTACTAGTAAATAACTACTGTAATAACTACTTATATTTATTTTTAGCCCTTCAGCCCCCAAGCGGTCTCATGAGACCGCGGCCATATTCCGTCAAATCCCTAGCGGTCTCATGTGGTCGCACCCACCCACAACACTTTAACCCATAAATGCTTATATATAGAGACTACTTTTCTATGAAGAAATTTGGCATTATATAATTAATATGGAATACTCTATCCTCTAGTGCAATAAAAAACTGTTATCCTATGAATATTTATTTATAATCTACGTTTATTTCGTACGCTATTTTCGCGTGAATATTATTGTGTTGATTTTTGATTTTTATAGTTTTTTATTAGTGTTTTAGTATAGTATTTTATTATAAAATTGTAAAGATAGTTTTTGTGTGAATATAATTTATCTTTTTACGTAAATAATTTCGAGTAATATATATATTTGTTATTACATTTCCTAGGACCGTTTAGTAAATTTATATAATTTCTGGGAATTATAGGATTAATGTGTAAGTTATTGTATATTAAGTACAGCGTGTGTAGTGGCAGTGTAAGAATATCCGTTACGCCATAACATAATGTGGGTGTAGTTAGAAGCGACAGAGGGAAACATATCCTGATATAAATCATCTCCTGAGATGTTGCGCATTCCTAATAACGACTCAATATAAAAAAAAAAAACTTCGGTTGACAACCCGCTTGCCAATCGTGGCAACTATGGCAAATATCGCCCCTATAATCAAATCAGGCAATCTAAGAGGGAGGCCTTCGTTCAGCAGTTGACTTTATAGCCTGTAACGTTAACGGTAACTGTAAGTTTTCCCAGAGCATTTATATATTTCTTGAATAAAAAATTATGAAATCCGCCAACACGCACTGCAGCATAATATGTTCCATATAGGTGGCCATAATATCTTCCCGGAAATGATAGGAATAGGCAATAGCCCAACTGTGGGACTAAGAAAGGCATTAATTTTAATTATAGCTAAATGAAATACATATTTGATAACATTGTGTACTAGTATTAGATATAACATTGTGCTTTTATTGGATTTTATATTCCCAATTAAGTTGAAGTTTTAAATTTCATTTTATTTTTGGCTGACTATGACTTTGACTTTGACTTGACCTCAGGTAAATATACAGCGTTTATTCGACAGATGGCAAACAATTCGATTATCAAACTTCCGATAGGCTTTATTTGAAAAATAAATCATCTACCAGATAGACAAATGTATCCGTCCTTTTGACGACCAGATAACCAGTTTTACAAAAGATAAATTTATTTTGGTTGCGCGGAAAACCATTCGCGTTTTTTTATTTTTGACGGTAGGAACTTGTCGAATCATTATTCCCTTCCGAAACAATATCATTCGTACCCTCCTATCGACACATCGGGGTGGTGGGGTGGGAGGGGAAAGAAGACGATTCTAGAACATCGCGTAATCATCGGACCCGAGGATATATAAGACACGCGCGACCGACGCGCGCTCTCTTCTCCCGCCGCAGTCGTCGTTGAACTACAACCTCCTCTTCCCGCGCGCTCGTTTGGAAACACCTCACTAGTGGAAACCGCTTTGGCCTGGAAGCAGTCGAGCTCCAGGAACCCGCCTCACCTCGTGTGAGATATCGTCGCGCACCGCCTCTCTCCGGAGTGTTCCAGAAGTCGCTATAGTGATCGACAGGAAGAAGAAACCCCGGTGAGTCAATACTCCTTAATTATACCTGCTTGCTAATAATTTAACCCGCTCCAATCTGTGTTTTTTTTCCTAGTCAAGCAGGATTCCTTTCATCGATTCGACAAGTAATAGTTTAGTTTAGGGAAGAGCGAGTGCATTGTACCGCATGCTATAGTAGTCGCTTTTAACGTAAGCGTAGAAGCAATCGCATATACAGTCCACTTTAGTTAATATCTCGCGTAATAGGTTTGAGGTTTGACCGGGGAACTAGATTTTCGGCAGCCTTAAACACGTGGCTCCACCATTTTATGGTCACTTCGGCAGGATCTGGATTGGTGTTTAGTGGTTATCCAACCATTTTCTGGTCGAATTATTAAATTAATTGTTTAGATAACGCACTCTAACTTATGGAATAGACTTAAATAGTGTTCGTTTAAATTAAAATTTTGATTTGTTACTCGCAAACAGAATTATTCATTTAATAGCGCTCGTATTTGGTTAAATTTAAAGCTTATTAAATAATTGAAACGGCGTAATAGCAACCGTTTGATACGCTTACCCCACAATTTTATAAAATTATTAGGTTTAGCAAACGACGCGTAGCCTTGACTGCATCGGGCGCTCGATCTGATTACGTAATACAGCACGCCGAGTATTCATCCTACGTCGTTTATGCGTGTGAGATTAATTGTGATTAATATAACTTTATTATAATAATTTAAAATGGCAGTTAGTGGAAGTGAAATCAAAATTAAAACGCTTTATGCCAAGAGGGACATACTCTTTTCGCGTGTGCAAAATATAAGTGATTATATAAAGAACATTCATATAGAGGCAGTACGGGAGGCCTTTTTAAATGAAATCGAAACGATAGATAATTTGCGGACAGATTACGAAAGAATATTAGACCAAATTAATCATTCGGAACTACAAACCGACCCGAAATACATAGTGAACTACCAACCGCTGCTGGCATTCGAAGATATGTTGTGTCGCGTGAAGAGAACCGCAAAATTGCTACAATCTCAAGGTGAAGCGAAGCCTGAAATGCAGGTACGCCCTCGTGACTCAATTAGGTTACCGCCAATAGATATTCCGGTATTCAATGGTGATATTAAGACGTGGCCCTTCTTCTTCAGTAGTTTTCAAAACAATATACACAACAACCCATCGTTATCGGACGCTGAAAAATTATATTACTTAATTAGCAAACTTAGTGGCAGAGCACAGTCGATCTGCTCGGGTTTTACACCTACAGCAAACAATTACGTATTAATATTTGAAACGCTTAAAACTAAATATGAAGATAGGAGAATGTTAGCTTCCGAATATTTGAACCAGATATTCGATCTTAAACCTATATCATCCGCGAACATCAACGGCTTAGAGCAGTTTCTCGATAAATTTGTGGCATCGGTGGCTGCACTTAAGAATTTGAAGTTTGATGACCTTATGGACGTGGTGTTTCTCCATATAGCATTAAAGAAATTAGACTCCGACACCGTGCGTGCGTTTGAAATGGAGCATCGTAGCTCGGAGATGCCTTCCTTTCATTCATTAGCATCGTTCGTGCGAGATCAAATAAAGGTGATGCAGCGCTCACCGAACGTTAAACAGGAGATTAAAAGGTGCGCCGACCGTAGACAGACTCAACCATCTAAAATAGCAGGGTCGTTAACTTACGTAACCGCTACGCCGACATCACTCCAGCATACTTGTATAGTATGTAAAGATAAACACGGTAACTTATATAACTGTGCGACTTTTCGTAAATATTCACCAAGCGAACGTTATAAGTTAGTAAAGACAAACAACCTATGTTTGAACTGCTTAAGCGATAAGCATTTAGTTGCAAAATGCAATTCGAGTTCCGTATGTAGCAAGTGCGCCACGAAACATCACACGCTATTACATTTTGAAAATAGCAACATAGCGGCGTCAAGTAAGGCGGATAAGGAATTCACCCCTACTAAGGTCAACGATTCTAGCGGTCGACCTGGTGATGTCGCTCTGTGCTCATTGGCAAATATGGGAGCACAACCTCCTTCAACCGTGTTACTGGGTACGGCGCGTATTTTGGTTAGGGATTCGCGTGGAAACAAACAAAGCGTCCGTGCACTGCTGGACAGCGGAGCCCAAAATAGCTTTATAACACGACAATGTTGTCAGCGCTTAGGCTTAGTAATAAATAGGTCACTTTCATGTCCTGTAGTTAAAGGCATCGGAGGTACTAGTAAAGCGACACAGGGATATATAAATTTAAAATTTTATTCTCGGATAGATCGTAACGTTAACTTTGATATAAATGCACTAGTAGTAGATAGGGTCACTGAACGGTTGCCAACCGTTTCGGTTGACACCTCGGCAATGATTGAATTTAAAAATTTGACTCTAGCAGACGACACTTACGCCGTTCCTGGAAACATAGACATGCTCATTGGGGCATCGCTTTTCCCTCATCTTTTGTTAAACAATAAGGTCAGGGGCAACTCCTCGCATACCGCGCCTTACGCACTGGAAACCGTATTGGGCTATGTGATCCTTGGCTCCGCCCCCATCCTAGATAGTATTTCGGCAGCCTCTTATTGTGGTATGGCTGTCGAACCGCTCGAGTCGTTAGTCCGCAAATTTTGGGAGATGGAGGAGGTGAACGTCCCACCCATAGCTAGTTCAGCTGACAGGATATGCGAGGAAATTTACGTCCGCACGACCGTTCGTGATCGCGACGGTAGATATAGTGTAGCGCTACCCTTTAAGGGAGATGTTTTATCTCTCGGCGATTCGCGTCAAATGGCGGAAAAACGTTTCTACAGCTTGGAGCGTAGGATGCTCGCTTCGCCCCAGTTAAAGGAAGCTTACGACGG